GGGGTTGCTCTGAATTATGTAAATCCCTGGAGGCTGCGAAAGCGGGCCAGGAGCCTGCCGGCAGCGGGGTTGCTCATAGCCCGACGCCCTCCCAACCCCGCTGTCCCCCAGCCTTCGGGGAGGAATTGGCCATGTGGTGGAGCGTAGCAGTGGGGAAGAAGGGTTTAAAGTGAGAAAACTTCGGGTTCGTATTTAGTGTGATGCTAAGGCGTGAGATGAAGTGGTTTATATACAAACGGCTCAGTCTGCTTAATTAAAACTCACAGGGACTGGTTGTAAAATAATGAATGTCTCACTCACCAGTACTGAAACTTTGTCTAATGAATTCTTTGCCTTGTCTGCCTGTGTTTCCATCTGACATCCTGTATTCATTCACAAGGTGTTCCTCTTAATGAAAACAAGGTCATTCTTTCAGCATTTGATGGCCAAGAAAGGAAGAGGTGATAGAACGGCAGCCTTACAGCCTGTGTTATTTTTGCCTCCTTCCCTAATTGCAAAGAACTTCATTGATGTCGACAGCACTTCTGCCTGAATAGCAGAGGAGAATAGGTGCCAGATCGGACCACAGGACAAATTGGAGTTCAGTCCAGATATTCAGGTCCTTGTATCGATTTTCCACTTTTGTGTGTCACTGCCTTATGGGACAATAATACCGGTTCATAAGGAGGAAGCATTTGTACCTTTCTGCTTAGAGGCTGATGTCTAATTCTTATTAGCAAGTAATATTGACGTTGCATACAGAGACTACATTTGAGATCTGAACCTTGCAGCGCTGCACTCTGCAGAAACACAATAGGAGAAGGCGCTTGCCCTGACAAAGGTACCAGCCACGGGGAGGACAAAGAGTGCAAGAAGGAAAGTTTGGCAGAATTCCCTTACAGACAGCAAGCCGAGGAAGAAAGACAACTTTTTTTTCCATGCCCAGGCAGGGGCCGAAGCAGGAGCAGACCTTACCGCCAGTGCCCCAGTGCTCCACTCCCCACTGTGGCATTGCCCTGGTCTCTCACCATCTCTTTGTCCTCCTGTGCAAGCTCTGGGGGATGCTGCTCTGCTGAGCGCCCTACCAGCCAGCACCACTGGAGCTGAGCTGCCAGGAGCGTGATCCCGAGCTGGCAGCCTCAGGTCCATGAGTTCTCCTCTGCCGTTTGCTGGGTAGGCAGGCCTGCCTCTCTCTCTGTTGGCCTGCTGGTGGGGGCCCACAGCTTCATTCCTATTTCACGGGGATCCTGTGGTTGGAAAAGATTGGTTTTTTGACATCAATTGGTGTAGTTCCCTGATCTGGTCCTAGGAGAGCTGACCTGTGCTGCAAGGGTTTTCCTAGAAAAAAAAAGGCAAATAACTTTGAACAACACATGGTAGGAGGGGGAAAAACATCACAGTGCTTGCAGACAGCTGGCAAATAATACCAATGGAGTGGGAAAAGTCACAAAGTCGTTGCTTCTGAATTATTTCCTGCCCTCTATGGTAACAATGCACATTTTTGTATTGCTGCAGCACCTGTGGCATATCGTCCTGCCGGCTGCAATGAGCCTGGGAGCCAGCATGCCTGGATGGTGCATGGCAGTGCCACCAGGGATGCCTTAACTTTGGCTCCTAGTGACATCCACCTCCTGGGACACTCAGCCAAATCACCGAAACTCCAAAGAAATGTCAGTCATACCAGTCGAGATGGCTTGCTGAGTAGGGACTGGGGAAGGATTAAAGACATTTGTATTAATAAATAGAGATGTTATCACGGCGAATTAATGTTCTTTGATACACATCTTGCAGCATTAGGAGATGCTAGGTACCTGTGCCTCATTATCTCTCAGAGGTTAAGGCGTCAGCCTGGGACAAGGGGAAGTGATTTATGTGGTACCTTTGTCAGAGATATAAAAATATGTGTGAAATCAGACTGCACAGAGCCCAGTAGTAAGAACCTCCCTGGGGTCCCAGGGCCTCACATTGCGCTGGGTTCCCCGTCCTTGCTGCAGGTTTTGAGCTCTCATCATTCAAGCACTTACTTCCTCCTCTATGTCCTCTCTCTCTGTCTGTCTCACCCTTTTTATATCTGGTGTTCTGGTTCCTTCCCCTTCTAATGTCTGATAGGCAAATGTTATTCAAAGGGATGGTTAATCCACGAGACCAGGGAGGATTCCTCCATTGGAAAATGCCCCCCGCCCTTTCTCTCACTCTTTAGGAGATGCTGGCTGGGGAGGTGACATTTAGCTGGAAAGGACAAGTGAAGAGATCAGGGGAAATTTGATGAGCGTTGAATGGCTCAGGTATTAATTAAGCCATCAAGGACGAATGAATGGATACGCGGCTCTCTTCTGCACTGGGCACGAGTTGAGAGTCGTGCAGGTGCACAGTCGCAGGCAGAGCTCAGCCCAGACTGCCCTGCTGCCCCTGGGGATGGCCAGCACAGGAACCTGCATCACCAGTGGGCAGCCTGGGCACGGGTGGGGAGCTCCGTGCCCTCTGTGAGCACGGAGATGTAGGGGATGTGGGGATGTGGGAATGTGGAGATGTCTGCACTTCTGTGATGAAAGCGGGTGTCGCCTGGTGGACCTGCTGGTGCAGTGGAGCAAGGACTCCAAGCACCGTTCAAAATCCCACAGGGACCGTGACAGCAGCCAGGTCCCTAACGCTGTGTGCAGAACAGTTCCCTGCAAGATGCCACGTGCACTCTGATCCCATATTTCCTCTGGTTCCTAGGAAGGGAGCCCTTCCAGGCCACAGCCAGGAGCCAGGCACACACAGGTGACTCCCGCCGCTGCCTGCAGCCGAGCATCAGTGGCTGCCAAGCAGAACGTCTTTGCCAGATGCCGCTCTCCTGCACACACTGACAATGCCTTCGAGCACTTGTTAGAAGGGGTTTTCTGATTGCTTTCGGTTGCTGTGCCTCTCCTCTGATCTCATTCAGGAGCATTTCAGAGAGCGTGGCTCCTGTGAAGCAGGCGCTATTCATCGCCTCGGCTGTGACGCAGCGAAGTCATGGGACAAGGAGGAAAGTTAGCGGTGAGTGGCAGAGGCACAATGGATCAAAGAGGAATGATGAGCATGGCACTGAAGGCTCCAGTTAAGAAAAGGTTGCAGATCAACATTTCTGACAGTAAATTCATATTGGAGTCGATAAGGGACGTGAAACTGGATGCCTCATTGAGAAGGGCGTTTGGCCAGGAGGAACAAAATATGATTTTAATTCCTGTTCTAATATTGCAGGAAAAAATAAAAAGGACTTTACAAAACTTGTATCTCTAAGAAAATGAAGCTTACTTGAGAGCACTGCCTGGCTTTATGCTTCTCCTGATTATCATTTGAAAGTGTCCCATTTAAAAACAAAATCACAGAAAGACGGAGCCTTAAAAGCTATTGATTTTTACATATTTTCTATACAGAATCAAGTGGATAGCAGAGAGAGATCTAAACGAGAGAGAGTCTCTTGACGGAGGGGCTAAGTCTTAGCTCAGATCCAGAGAAGCCGTAGGAAGGAGAGGAAAAAGAAGAGGTTCTCATCACCTCCAGGGCGGTGGGACTGCTGGTGCCACAGAGCTTTCCCTGCAGCACATGCGGCTGCGGGTGGCCCTGGGGGAACGTCCCCATAATCTCCACCTCGGGAGACTGGCATAGCACGGACCCATTGCAATCTCTTCCTTCTCTGCATGACAGCAGGAGGCCGTGATGGACCTCAAGCACCACCAACAGGAATTAAGCATTTAATTCTTTTATCCTCTATGGGAATTGGCCCTGGACTGCGTCATCTGCTTTGAAACCTTCCCCTCTTTTCCCACCTCCACAGCCCTAACCTGCCCGTAGCTTTTGTTGTCTAGAATCAGGATGACAGGGAGGGTTGAAATAAATTAATTGGAGTGAAAGGGAAATGGGCAGAAAGATCTTTGCACCTTTTTATATTATTTTCCATTTTCTTTCGCTACTTTTCCCCTACACTTGAAGGGAAGTAAAATGATTTTGACTAAAAACATGAACTTTTCATTTTAAAAAATATCATTGCCTGTGATCACATCCCATTCAGTGGTATTTGCCTGTCAGAAGGTGGTTTTGAGAAGTTGCTGCCCAGCCTCGTAAAAGTTATCATTTGTTTAGAGCCTGCTCTGGGTCTGTCTTGAGCCTTATTTATGGTCGCCTTGATTTTCTAAACCGAATGCTGTCAAGTTCAGTGTTTGTTGCAGGCAGGGAAGAAAAAAGATCATAAAGGACAATAAGGATGGAGACTATTATAAAATAAGGCAGAAGCAAAACACAGGACTGTAGAGGAGGCAGGAGACAAAAGAATCTAGCAGAAGGTGTTGTAATATAAAGGATGTTTCCAAGTCATTTGGGCCAGCCCCTTCCATATAGCTGTGTGCGTGGAGGTTGGGATCTCCTGGGTTAAGGTACCTGTGCAAGGCAGATCGTAGGAGGTAGGAGGTGGATAATTTGGTGCTGGAGAGAAGGAAGGCACCCTGTGCCTGCTGCTTTCAGCACAGCTGGGCAGGAACAAGCCCACGATCAGTACAGATGTGTGTGATAAGCACCCTACAGCACCTGAGCTGGCAGAAAAGTGTGTGACCCCAAAAGAGGGGGCATTTGAGGACTTTAGTTTTGTGTACCTGGTGAAGGGGAGGTATTTTGACCACCTGAAGCACTCTGAGATCTTTTTCTCCAGTTTGGGCTCTCCCACCTTGCTTGCTGCATGGTGGGAGCAGCCTGGGGGGCGCGGGGCAACCCCACTGTGGCATTTCGATACAAGAGTGCAGGGTTTGGGAAGGCAAAAGCACCCTGCCAAGAAACTGCAAGGCTGTTTGCAGAGCTGCTGGGAATATTTAGCACCTCCAGGAGTTCAGAACTTCTTTTAACATTGTTTTTTGCCTGCTAGTTTATATTTGCCAAGCTTGTGCCAAGGACCCAATTACAAGTTTTTTTTTTTCTCTTCCCTCTTTCTTTTCTACCTCTTCCTCTGACCATAATCAGGGACACCTGGAAACAATAAAGAGTTGTTTGTTTGCTTCGTCCTTCTCCCCCTTATTTTCTTGTATATTTGATGTTGTGAAAGCAAGGCTGTTAGAGATCCATTAAGCGGTGTTTGTAACGGGAGGGAGGTATTCTATCTGGTTTGAGGAAGATAAGGCACATAAATCGAACTCGCCCTACATCTGAACATTGCTGCAAATAGCGGAGAAGGAGGCAGACGTGTGGTCTCTTTTCCTACGTGCTGCGTGCTCTATCTTGCCACCTCTGGAAGCCAGAAGAACTTGAGAATTGGGGCTCAGTGCCTCCCCCTGACATCTGGACACCTGGAGACCACAGCGCTGCAAGGACTGGGCACCAGGTCAGCACAAAGGGGGCAACACAGGCCCCTTCTCTCAGCACTTTTACTTTGCCTGTACCCTGTCCTGGAAGCGTGCAAGAAACCAGCTTGATCACACACAGCTCTCTGGGATGTCCATGCTATTTTCTCACATATTTGGGATATTTTCCCCCAAGGTGTATCGCAGAAGTTCTGTTACTCCTGATTAGATTAGGAAGACTCTCAGCTGTGTCCACTGCAAGGAGAATGTGTAAAGTAAAACTCCTGGAATGAACAGCAGTGAGAATATTTATTCTCGCTCTTGTTCCAATATGTTGGAAACCCGGATCAAAAAATTGTCCCCTGCTTTTGAAGGAGTGGCTGAAATGTGTGCAATGGCCCTGGACAGGCAGCGTCTTCAGGATGTGAGCTCCGAGCTGAGCCCCCAGGTGGATGAATGCATTCCCCTGGTAAATGATGAATGGTGGAAGGGGCTTGTAGGTAGCCACCAGGACACAGCCTCTCACAGAGTAATTGAAAAGTATTTCTCTTTGGGCTGCTGGTAAAATTGTATGAGGAATCTGTTACTATGGGGTGGGTGCTTAGGTTTAACCCTAAATTATTTGAGGACTCCGCACCCAGCCCTCATGGGAAGCAGGGCTGCAGCTGGGGCAATGCTTTCAGCTTTGCCCCGTGCCCAGGGTTTTTCTCCAGCTCCCGCTCTCTGCTGTTGCGAGGGTCGTGCCGCTGAGCATCTCCTCAAAGGTTGTTCTATGTTCATCTCCTAAAATACCTTCCCTCGTGGACTTTTTTTGGCCCTGATGTGGTCCCCCTGAGGAACAGGCTGAAGCCGCAGCATCGTGGGGACCCCACCTTGCCAAGCGATCGGTTGTATTATGAGGTGGTAAAAGATGGGGAGGTGTCAGGATTTTAAAGAAATATCTCAACAGAAGCACAGAGAGTTTGGAAAGCCAAAAGAGCCCATTAATTCTTTCCCAAAGACAGTTTAATACCAATTAGGAGATAAACACGGGGTGTATTTCCTGGCACGGACACGCAGACTTGGCTGGGGAGACAGGGAGTGACATGAGACTCAGGAGCCCATTCTCCTTCGGGCTGTAATTTCTTAATATATTAAAAACAAAAGGCAGAGAATGTTAACGATGATTTAAAAAACGCTGCTAATAACTCCCTGGGGTCACAGGAGCTGGAAGCAGGCAGCAATTGCTGCCTGAGCCAGACCGAAGAGCCCCGCTCTGTGCGGCTGGGACGTGCTGCCTGTATTTTACCGACAGCTTGTGGCAGTTTCACCCCCCGAGCCTTACAGGAACCTGCTGTCCCGGGGGAGCGTGCCCCTGCAGAAGGTTTCTATTTAATTTGTTCCTCTGCTTAAACAGAAACTCTTTTTTCGTAGACATTTGCTAGGGAACAACACCGCGCTTTGCTCCAGCACATTTGTGCTAGGCCTGGTTGAAAAACTTTCCGATCCTGTGAAGAGTCACATTATGCTGCTGTTCCGCGGCACAGGGATGTGAAAAATCGGAATTAAATGTTACATAACAGTCTGAAAACGTGGAGCAAAACCGAGGGAAGTTCCAAACGTGGTGTTCGCAGGAAATTTTCGCTGGGTTTGTGATCCTGGAATTGGCCTTGTGCTTTTGTTTCGGATACGGCGTGACAATTTTTTGCAAAGTTTCTCCCCAGCCGGGGGATGCAGTCTGTGTGTTTACTTTGCGCTGCCCTCCAGCTTTCAGTACCAGCTCTAAATTCTCACCCTGCTGCTTCCAAATCCACATCATATGGATATGAGCAATTTTCATTTCGCAAGAATCCTGCCTGCTGTTTTAGGATCCGTCTCTCTTAACATCATCTCTGCTAGCGAGATGCTGCCGAGCTGAGGGCTGGGTGAAGTGGCACAGTTTTAAAGCAGATCTGTCATTCTGATGCAGCCTGGTCCATTTTAATGCTCACATGAAACTTTTTATTTTATTTTATTTATAGATTATCTTTTCTCCAGTGGAAATGACTATTCTACAAGATCCTATGAGCTGGAGAGAAATATTGTAATACATAATTGGGATTGCATACTTGGTGGATAACGAAAGTCGAGGAAGGAGGTAACTGTTAGACACCCCCTATGGAATGAGTCCTATTACAAGTTGTTCTGGACGAGACCTGCCTCCTGGAAACACAGCCACGTGTGCTTAGAGGGTGGTGGAGAGATGGAAGTGCTCAGAGAGCCTCGATCCTGAGTCTTTGGCTCAGACGCTGCCCTTCTCGGGGTGGTGGTCCCGCTGTGCTGGCTCCCACGGGAATCCGAGGTCAGCTTGAGCAGGAGGGCTTTGTCCTGAAAGTATTCCCTCTGAGAGGGACCGAGCAGGGTAGGCACACGTCAGGGGGTGCCCTGCTTTGTGTCTCCTCTCCCTGGAGATCCTTGCTGCAAGGGGCAGGGTTACGTAGCCCAGCAAGGTGCCTCGAACACCCAGCAGCTGCTCTTCTCCACTGTGAGGTTATTAATGGGCATAATCCATCAAGGCAGGGACTCAAGGAAATGAGACTGCAGAAATGCACTGTTAGGACTTGGGAACAGCTCAGTTGGCTGTTGACAGGGCTGAGGAGTCTTAATAAGAGGGTTTGGAAAGAAAAAAAAAAAGCCTTTATGAGGAATTAATTTCCTGTCTCCATTATAGAGTACTGGGATGTTCATTTAGCATGCAGTAGGTGGGTGTTGAGATTAGAGCTGAGGAGGAAATGGATGTCGGGACGTGCTAAATCTTCCTCAGCGCCAGGGCGAGGAGCCCTGGGAACACGCTGCCGAGCTTTCATTTGGACCAACCCTAACGAGGTGGGGGTAGGGACCTGATGAGCTGAGGTCCCTCCAACCCAAGCCGTTCTGCGATTCTGTCTTCCCAGAAGCGGGAGGCCAGCGGTTCCCATTAAAACCCTTTCTTCCTATGTTCCAAGCCTAAAAAATAGATGTAAAGGACATCAAGGCCCAGAACGAGAGACGCACTGATGAAAAAGCTTTAAAGAAGTCTTTGCAAAGCCCTCCTTAGCACTTTGCTATTCACTGCTGGGTATTTATAGCCTCATTTACGCTCGTTTTTGCATCAGATGCATTTAGTCTTCAGTGGGAAAGCGGAGGGGATGTGTGGATGTTGGAGGACTTCACATCTGCAGCCCTCGGAGCACTGAAACGCAGCGCTGCGAAACTGAGACCATGAGTCGGTCTGATCTAGTGGCTTCCGTGTAAAAACCTTACTCTAGGTCTCATCTTACATAGAAAAAGTGTCGTTGTTTTCCTCAGACAAAAAGAACACAAGGCTCGGGGCAGCTGAGAGGCAAGCTCAGTATTTTCGTTTCTTCCGGGGTGCTGGAAGAAGCCCAAGCCCACCCAAGTGGGGTGTGAAAACCAGGAAAAAGACAACCCGGAGCTGCACTTGATCTTTCTGCGGCTTGCCATCGGCGCAGCCTTTCACACCCCCGGAGTCACACTCCCTTCTTTGAATAAAACAGTATGCGGGGCTCACGCTCGGCGCGAAGGCAGGCGTCACCTTCCACGAGCACGGGGCTGCTGCATGCAGAGCTCTCGCCGTTTGAGCTGACTGGGTGCTTGGCACTCGGCACAACACTCCCCTCCCTCCCTTCCCTGACAGCGCTGCTTTCTGCTTCGCCTTTCTGGGGGAAAAATCACATTCCCAACACCTCGAATGCTGCCTCAGACTGGACTGTTTGTTGCTAGCATTCCCCCAGTGGGGGACAGCAGATACTCAGGGTGAAAGCCCTTTGGAGGAGAGCACATTTGGTGCAGGTGCCTTCAGCCAGCAGCGGGAGCAGTCCCAGAGCTATGAGCCCAGCAGGAGGGAATCAAGGACAGGCGCCCTGGCTGCCGTGTAACATCTTGTCGCCATCAAAGCCCCGTCGCTCACGTCTCGTGCAGTACATGCGCTCTCTCTTGTTCTCTCCTCGCAAAGCAAGGCACCGTGTTTGGTGTGATCGTGTAACTTAAGGTCATATTTTGCCTTCAGCCATCGGCGTGTGCAAATGCTGTCTGCCTAATGAGGCAGCCTCCAATGAGTATCCCGCGCTGTTTTCCTACAAGGTACTTTGTTGTGTTTGCAATCCCTCCTGACAGGTGGTGAAGAGCTGTCTTTCCTCTGGGCTTATGACTTGAGCTGGAAATCCAACAGCAGTGCAGGTTCCTGGCCATGAGGGACTTCTCTCCCCTCCTCCTCCGATGATGTGCTAAAAGGAAAATCTGCCTTTCGGTTTGCCTTTCTTGTTTTCGATTTGTTTTCAGTCTTTTTTTGTTTCCTTAAGGGACTCTGGTCAGCTCAGGGAAGCTGTGTGCTTTCGGGGATGTCAGATGGTGGCTCGGCCGATTCCCATGCCAGGAAAGAGAAGGGCAAACAGATGTGGTGCAAACAGCACAGCAGCAGGATCAGTGCCCGGCCACGGCACCGAGAGATGCGAGCAGGTCCCCCTTCCTCGCCCTTGCTTTCATGGGCAGGAATGACTCAGCTTGACACCACCGAAAGCTTTCAGACAGGCGAGTTTTAAAAATGATAGATGATAGCATGCAACTCATCAATGACTCAGCTTGTCAGCGTTCATCACTCGGACTCTGACCCTTCCTCCTCACCTCCCAGGCCTGCCCTGTTTTCTAGCTATCAACAGGGTGCCCTGGATCTCTGCCAAGGACTATAGGGGCAATGTTTTCAGACATTGTGCGTGCTTTCGGAGGCCCGGCTCTAACAAAGATGCTTTTAAAAAGGACCTGCTTTTCAGGAAGCCCCGAGTGTCTTCTGATCTGAAAAAAAGCAGGTTTCATTAAGGATGTCCAGACTGGGCATCTTCAGAAAATGAAAGCTAAGTCAAAAAACCCTGACTCCTTACTCAGCTTCCTGTGGTGGTTTATGAATTAATTTTCTCTTTCTCTCTCAATTTTGTCATCTGCTTGTTTATAATATTCCAGGAAAAGTACCCAAAGGAGCTGCATGGGACATTTCAAACAGACTTCGTAAGGGAGAAGTCCCTCCTGGGTTACACCACTGCTGCTGGTTTATGGCAGATAGACTGTTGCTTTCTCCTGTTACAGCAGTTTGCAAACTTTCTCAGCCAGGCTTGTATTTCCACAGCTCTCCCTCCCTGACATCCAGATCCACATTTCTGCTTTGCTGTGAACTAGAAAGAGAAAACAGAGTTGATATGATTTTGTTTTGATCGGACGCCTGCCCCTTTCTCCTCATCTCTTTATTTTTTTTACATGTTGAAGGGGATCCATCAAGATAATTTCCTGTTATTAGGTTTGAAGTGTTTTGAATTCGAAATGCTTTTTCACTTAGAAAGAATTGATGCCTCTAACTTGTAATGTGTTAGCGGTTCCGTGTCGTGCCTGACAGCCCAAACGGCATCACAGGTAGCTAATCCCAGCTGCTGAGCTCCATTAAAGGCGAGCTGGTGTCTGCTAATACAGCCAGCCCGTTTGGGTCATTGTGCTGATGCGAAGAGCAGGGCTGCCTGGAGAAAGATTAGTATGTGAGGGGACATCTTTATTCTATTTTAAACTGGAAAAATGTATGGCAGATACACTAGTCATGATTGATTAGAGATATGAAAGGGATTTTATGAGCCTTCCTGCGTACTCTGTGTTTCTCATTCTGTTTGTCATAGCTCAGTGTTTGATAAATAAATAAATACATAAATCCAGACCTTGAGGATAATAGCAAAGGCAGACTCGTTGCTGCTCCTCTCAGTGCAGTATTTTTTGTTCTAATGGGCTAAGAACCGGGTGTCTCGGGAATCAGTTCGGAGCTCTGATCGGCTACACAGTTCAGGGCCACCTTTCCCCTCATCTCTGTAGGATCATAAGCACAACGTGGCAGTGGCTTCCTTGTCCTCACACAGGCAGCCCAGTCCCGCCTGGCTTCTGTGCGTGCAGCCCAAGCAATCTCCAGTTTCCCACCAACAGGACCTCAGAGCCACTTCCCTTCTTCATTTTTCTGTGCTTCGAGTGGTTTCTGTGTGCTCTGCTGAGTTTGTAGGACTCCCTGAGCAAGGCAGAAGCACAAACTGTGCCGTCCCTGGCTCTGCAGCCACATCACCCCACTGCCATGGCTGCTCGTGGCCAAGGCTGTGCTCTGCCAATGCCGTGTATTCCTTGGCAAGCTCGGAAAGGAAACGGTCTTAAAAAAAAAAAAAAAAAAAAATCACATTAAGCATGGCATGTGTTTCATGCTCCTTTAGCATCTTATCCTGCCACGGAGTGTTGTAATTCCCCTGGCTGCTTTTGAATTCCGTGTCACACTTTTAAATGGGGTTTGGTGCATTCTCTGCATGCTCTGTCAGTAGAGTCCTGCCAGGAACCGGGGAAGCACCCACCAGCTGCGCTGCCTCGTGTGCTGAGCGCGAGGATGTCGCGGCTGTAGGGACCCTGCAGCCTGGGACCACGCCGTCCTCCAACTGCTGGAGCTGCGGAGCTTCTTCCCAGGGAGGCAGGGGCTTTGTGAGCTGGGTGTATGAGGCTGTTTTGAAGTTTTAAAGCAAGTAAATCAAAGCTACTTGTAGTGCTGTTAAAGATTCTCCTCGTTAATTAGGCAAAGTTATCCTGAACTCGGAGGAGGTTTGACTTTGGAGGTTTACTCAAGGGAACAGTGAGGAGCGCCTTCCACGGAGACACACAGACCCAGGCCGTCCTGAACCCAAGGCTAATTTTAGCTGTGTCGCTGTGCTAGGAAACAAGAGGTAATAATGGCATAATGGCAGCCACCGACCTTTGAAAAACCCGAATTAATGAGTGGGAGCTGGCAGCTGGGACCAGTGGCAGGGATCTCGAGGAAAAGGTGGGAGGAGAGGAGTGCAAAGTGCTGAACCACGGGGAAAGGTGAGGGTGATGCAGACCTGGGGGAGAAGTAATTACGTTGATTGACCTTCTCTTCCTCCTGAAAAGGGTGCTATTTCTGACCGCTGACAGCACTCTCCTTCACTCTTTGTGTTCCAGGGATATTCCCTGTTTATAAATGCGCCCGACGTGCCCGTGCCTTGTCTCTGATCGTCCCTGGTCGTGTTGAACAGGTGTGAGGGAGGCCGAAAGCAGCTCCGCAAGGTGCTGGAGCATGTGTTGGATTTGAAGACGAAGTGGAGGGGATGGATTTCGAGCAGGCTCTGAGGCGTGCCGTGGTTCTTTACACCAACAAACCACGACCAGGAATGGTTTGCCAGCAAGCCAGCGGCTGCGATTCCAACGAGAGAGGAAAAGGGGTTTCCGAAGGGTGAAGATTTTGTTTAGTCATACCCACTCTTCAGGGCAGTGTTACGGCTGCAGATGCGGTTTAGATACTTTGAGGTGTTTGCAAAGATTAATTAGCTGCCTAAATGGGAACTGAACTCTGATGAAAGTCTGGCCCTTGCGGGCACTGAGCCTCGGGCTTGGTATGCTTTTGAAAAATCTCACCCCGGAGGACTCAGTGGATGCACTTTCCTGACCCGAGCTCATGCATTAGAGAAGAAGCTTAGAGTTATTTCAGTACTTCCAGGAGTTCAGGCTCATTCCTCAAAGCGAACAACCTCACACTTTCCTCCTTGTCTACGAAGTGGCTAAAATCCCCCGAGAGTGCCTTTTTTGGAGAAAGTTCAGACGAGGTAGCAAGAATGGATAGCAGCAGGCAGCCTGGCTGGGGGCACATACCAGGAAGCCCAGCCAAGCAGTGGGAGCCCAGGCTGCAACGCCTTCGTTTTGCCGATGCCCCCCGCCTGCTCCTGCCCTGTTCCCCTCCCCACCTCACTCCCCTGCTTCTCCTTCTCCTTCGCCCTGCTTTCCGGCTGCCTGCTGACTCGGTGCATTTTGCAACCTTGCAATTTCACGCTGCATTTGTTGCCTTGGCAACATAAAAGGGGAGTTCAAAGTAGGGGGGGGGGGGAAGTTAAAAATAAAAAACAACCCCAAACCCTCTTAAATCAGCCCCTTGTTTTCTGTGTTGCCCGTGCACCACTAGATGTGTGGGTATATTGGCAGTGGAGCTGTAAGGAGCTTTTAAATGCTCCCAGGTGCTGCGGAGACATCACAGGGGATCCAAACCTCTTTTCCTATCCTCTCTTCAAGCTGCTTTCACCCATCCCTCTCTTAGAGGGTGGCCGAGAGCCCCATTGCTGGATGCTGGAGCAGGGGCTGAAGCTCTCTCACGTCTCTCACCCCTCCTCTTCCCAGGCGCGGTGGCTAAAGGAGCAGCAGCCCTTAAATGAAAACTTTACGGCGAGGCGCTGCTGACACTTTTTCATTATGAAGATACATGGGGTGGCTGGTAGCTAATGAATGTCAGTGCTCAAAAGGATAATCTCTGCTTCTCTCTGATACAATTTAACATCGTATTTCCCTAATTTGAGGCTGATTTAGTCGCTGGGGTATTTGGATGCCTCTTCTATGGTGCCGATAGTTAATTAAACAGATGTTGCAGAGGGAATCATTAATTTTAGTGCTGCAGATGGGAGCGGAATGACTTTGCGAAGTTAATGTTTCAGCAAAACAATAGGCTTCTGTCATCAGTTGGTATAAACCAAGTAAATTAAGAGAACAAGTAGAGTAAAGGAGATAGCTTTGAAAGAATATCAATTATTCATTTCAGAATTATACTTTTTCCCCCCCATAAATCATTACGGGAGGAGAGGAGGAGAAAATCTGTAAAACCTGGGAAGAGGGCAAGAGAGGAGTCCCTGAGACAGCCGCCTGGAGGAGAGCTCAGCGCTGCTCCCACCCTCACTCGAGTGCAGCAGGGCTCGGGCAGGACCATGGGGAGCCAGCATTGCCTTGGAACCACGGTGCCACTTCAGGCAAGTCCTGGAAAAATTTCCCAGAGCACCTGAAGTCACGTCCACAGAGACAGGGGTGCTTTTCCGTGCTTTAAAAGCAGGTGGGCACAAGCAGATTGATTTTTTTTTTGGAGTCTGTGATAGTTTTTTTCACTCCAGGCTGGCTGTCCTGTGCCTGTCGCCAAGTTTTCCTAGATTTTGTATTTATAAAGGCACCTGCATGTGGTGACAGTTTTCTAAGGGGAAGCTGGTGTGTTTGAGAACTTCAGAAAGCTCAGGACTTAGCAGTGCAATAAGTTTCTAAACCCTCATGGAAAAAACTTGCTGTAGGGTTGCATCTATGCGTCAGATGTGGCCACCGAGTCTATGGCTAGAGGAGGAAGAAGTTCAAAAATTAAAGTTTTTTTTCAAGTTTGCTGGCATTAAACACCACTAATTTCCATGGAATAAAGGTTCTCCTATTTAAACTTCAAACAACAAAGGGAAAAGCCAATGGCTTCTGAGCCATAAACCTGTGCAGGGACAGAAGAGGATCGGGGAAACAAATGAAGTCCATCTATCTGTTAGAGTGAAAGCACTTGGTGTCTTGGTTCAGTGCCTCGTAATATGGAAATTGTGTTTCTTTTTAGGACAGATGAGTCATTTGACCACTCAGACAACTATATGAACACATCTATGTCCATTTATATTATCTTTCTCTTTCTCATATGTGCATGTTTCTTCCTTATTACCAGCTACTACTTTCTCCAAAAACAATAATCAGTGGTTATTCTCATTTATTTGATAAGGCCAAACAATTTCAGTGCCCAGAAAGTAATTATGAATTTGGCAGTTCCGATTAATAAATCTTTCATGAAGCATGCTCCATTTTGTCCATAAACAGCATCTTCCAGCGATTCATTGAGAAAATGTGAAGGAGTGGGATAGACAGAGAGAGAAGAAGGCAAAGGGGAAAAATGCATTCTTCCAGGCAATAAAGCCCTGCTCTCAGTCGTACACGTGTAAGGTGAATTCCACCACTGGGTTTATTTCTGCAGCACTCCCTCTGTGCACACCATTTCATTTTAATGGCTCCTGTTTGCGTTTCGCTCTTCCTGGCTTTGTGATGCCTCTCACTAAGTTCGCTGCAGCCTCACAATCAAAGCATCCTGCATTATTTTCAGAAGCTAATTTGTATCCCCAGGCTTGCTGAAGCATGCCACTGTACGGCTTGGAGGCCTTGTCTTCTGTTCCAGCTGAGCTAGAGCTTGCAGCAGACACATGCTAAGCTTGTCAAACACCGACTGCTTTCAGTTGTCTGCAGAGAGGTACTGCTATGCTTTGAGAAAGTGTCGAGTATCCCAGCTAGCTGCCAGGCCGCCAGCCTCCTCCTGGTCCTCTGCTGATTCTGCCAGCCCCATGCGGAGGTTTCAGATGCTGTAGGGTCTCTCAGGTGGGGCTGTTGATCCTTTTAGCGGTCTTGCAGGGAAATCTCTGTCCTATAGACTTCTGCAATAGCCCTGAAGTCACTCATAACCAAAGGGAATAAATTCAGTGTATCCCAATGTGTCCTGCTGCAAGACAGGAAAAAGACTGATTTTTTTTTTGCCTGGCAAACCTTGAAAGCAGAGTACTGAGATTGCGGGATCCCGAGACCTGTCTGCTGTTGCAGTGCATTACTCTGGGCTGAAGGAGTTTGGCTTCTTCCTTTAGGAAACACAATTCTCATTAAAAGCCTGAAATTGAGCTCCTTGGAGACCTGAGCAGATCGGTCTGAACACAAGCCTGTAGCCATAGCAGCTTCTTGCTGTGTGTCCGCAGGACACGATGGGGGTTTGCTGCTTCCATGGGGTCTCTGGGCTTGCTGGGTTGCTCTCTGGTGTCCCTCCGGTGCCAGCTCCCTGGGTTGGTGTTCCCAGCACTGAAGTCTCCAGAGATCAGGATCTAAGCCGTGGGGGTGCCCTTCTTTCCCTCTCCCCCAGAACAGGGCACCCAGCACCCATCAAGCAGTAGATTTTGGGCTTTAATGCTGCTCCATAAAGAATGGGGTGTTTCAAGGGGGCCAGATCTCACTGGAGCTGTGGGTAAGGATGCTCCTGGTGTATCCCAGGGGCCTCTCCCTGCCTCCAGTCCTGGAGAGCAAACACTCCCGGGGGTTATAAAGATGCTCAGGCACACGGATGCCTCCAAAGTGGGGTGGTTCAACATCATTTTCTCCTGCCTCTGCCCTCTGGGATGATGTCCCTGTGCCTCTTTGGGACAAACTCCCTTGGGGCCACCAGGAGTGTTTAGGGCATGGCCCTGCCCTCGTCAGGGAGCACAGCATCCCGTGCCATTCCTCTGCTCCGCATGGCGTCACCTGCCACCGGCGTCTGCCTCTGCAA